TGTTTGCCAGGATGGCCTCAATCTCTTGACCTCACAATCCACCCACCTCGGTCTCCCAAAGTGCTAGGATTACAGGTGTGAGCCACCGCACCCAGCCATTGATTTTTATAACATGATACTTTTATTTATTTAAACTATCTTCAGGTTTAAAGAAATTTTTCCATCAATTTATTGGAGTTTCCAGATGTATATTGATCTAATTTTATATTCTTTCTAATTCTTAAGCCTTTGCTTACTTTTCATTATCTAGTTACACAAAAGAATACTTCTACTGCATTTTCAGTAGTACTAGAGAGAGTGAATATCCTTGAACTCCTGACTTCAACCGATACTTTTTTTCCTTTTTGAAGGCAGTTACAATTCATGATACAGAAAAATGCCGAGCATGGGATCTAGGAACCAACTTCTTTCTCAGTGAAGATGATGTTGTTAATAAGAGAAACAGGTAAAGATATTTTGATGTATTATCCTGAGGGTTTTTTTTTTTTTTTAACTCTCATTTACTTAGAATATTTCCTTTATCTAGAACACCAATCAGTTATACTCATTTAATTGATCACCATAAATCCATACTACTATGGCTAAATAAATATTGGTATATACTTACTTAATTATTTGTATTTGTCAAATTTTTTTAGATATTTACACTGCTACCTAGAAATTTATTTCTTTGAATTTATTCAAGAACGACTTTAGTATTGCTAAATTATTAAGAAAGTTAAGGAACCTGGATCTTGGAACTATTAGGGTACACTTTGAGATTGTGTGGTTTACTGTGGAATATGATAGTATATCATTTCACCACTATGTAGTTATCTGTAAACACAAGTAAGTCTTGGTTTCTTTCTTCTACAAGGTAAGTTTCCACTGAAATTTTGTAACATGTCAGGTTCCTCTGATGTCATTACAGTGTCCAAATTTAAGAGATTTGAATATGTTGAATGAAACAACAGTAAAGGCTTATTTATTTATTTATTTACTTTTTTAGGGCTGAAGCTGTACTTAAACATATTGCAGAACTGAATCCATATGTTCATGTCACATCATCTTCTGTTCCTTTCAATGAGACTACAGATCTCTCCTTTTTAGATAAATACCAGGTTAGTACTCTATTTTGTATTCAATGTTACTGACAGATTCCAAGGAAAAATGTTAAGTGTTAATATGCTTAACTAGTTTAGCCTAGTGTATTGAGAAACAGAACAAAAGCATTTCAAGGTAGAAGAGATACTAGAATAAAACCTTTCAAATTCTCTGTTTTAAGGAAGGGACCTAAGAACCACTGCCAAGTAGTTATATCAGTTGGCTCTTTTCTCAGTAATATGCATTAAAAACTACTCAAAACTCTGATTTATAGCACCTGCATATCAGTTGGGGTTTCTAGGCTGAACTCAGCTTGGATTAAACTTCAGAGTTTGGGTTCTGCTCTGTGTGCCTCTCTTCTGGGACCAGGAAGCTACCTATGTCATGCTCTCATGGTAGTAGCGGAAATAGAAGGTCAAGTCCAGCCACACATGCACATTTCAAGCCTCTGTTTTTGTTATGTCTGTTAACATCCTGCTGGCCAAAGCAAGTCATATTATCAAGCCTACAGTCAAGAAGCAAAAAAGTACTCTTCCTAAAGCCATGGGGAGGCAGTATAATTACAGGGGGGTAAAAATACATGGATCAATAGTTCAATCTATTATAGGTAACAATTCCTTAAATAACAACAAAATCTATTAACAATTCCTTAAGTAACAACAAAAAAATTCCCAGGACCTTGGGTATTATAAAAATGACTAAGTTGACCCTGATTTTTTTTTTTTTTTCTGTGAGTAAATTATGCTGTTACCCATTTGGAATTGAGTTTAAACTTCTATTCTGGAATAGATAACTTAAAATTCATCCTGGTGTAAAACACCTAGCATTTCTAAACACACTTCCTTTTAAATGATTATCCGAGCTCAAATAATGTAAGAAAAATGCTCAGGGGCCACAAATGAACAGTTAGCTAAAAGACCAGTGAACTGTTACTCTCAGTGTCAGAAGTTGCCTGTCACGGTAAGCAAAATTCTTGGGAATTAATGTTCACATAGAAGCAGAAGATTCAGAACTACATAAATTAGAGAAATGGAATTGAGACCTCCCCTTCTTCATAAAGCTGGAGCATCAGAGAGCTATGCCCTCAGTGAAAGGGTAGACAAGAACAATCTTGTCTGACCAGAACAAGAAGCTTGTCTGTTTTCTCTTGAGTTCTGGGTGAAAAGTAAAGGTTTTCCTGGGGAATTTATAACCATAGGCTGCTGTCACATAGGTTTAGAGATTAAACTTTATAATCTTTTGTGATCTGGAAATTCCTGAACTGAGAACTTAATGTAAAAAGTAGTACTGTAATGGCCATACCCTAGAATGCCAGACAAAAGCAAAACTAAACAAATCTAGAGAAATACACCCTCAACTAAGTTACAGTGTATTCTAATATATAAAGTCCCATTGAGTTTAAAGTACAAAATAACAAGATGGGAAAAAGCAGTTCAGTATGACCAAGAGTTAGTGAATATAACAAGCTATTAAAACTCCAAGAAGTTTTATTTTTATTTTTTTATTTTTATTTTTATTTTTTTTTTTGAGATGGAGTCTCATTGTGTCTCCCAGGCTGGAGTGCATTGCGTGCAGTCTGGGCTTACTGCAAACTCTGCCTCCTGGGTTCAAGCAGTTCTCCTACCTCAGTCTCCCTAGTCGCTGGGATCACAGGCATGCACCACCATGCCCAGCTAATTTTTGTATTTTTAATAGAGGTGGGGTTTCACCATGTTGGCCAGGCTGGGGATTACAGGTGTGAGCCACCAGACCTGGCCTACCTCCAAGAATTTAAGAGAATGGAATTATTTAAGGAAGATTATAAAATACAGATCTTCAAAACTAAATCTCAGAAGAAGGGATTAAATATATAATATACAAATAAGACTGTTGAAAAAGAGCAGGCAGATGTGATAAAGAACGAAATATAACTTATGAAAATGAACATAAAGTCTTAAAAATTAAAATTCAGTGGATAGTCAATAGATATAGCTGGAATTAGCATTAGTGAATTGAAAGATAGACCTGAGGAATTACCAAAACCATACCACATAGAAATAAGAGAAAATATCCCAGTACTTTGGAGGCCAAGGCAGGTAGAAAACCTGAGGTCAGGAGTTTGAAGCCAGCCTGGCCAGCATGGCGAAACCCCACTGTGAGTAGTGGACCGCACCTGTAATACCAGTTACTCGGGAGACTGAGGCAGGAGAATCGCTTGAACCTGGGAGGCAGAGGTTGTAATGAGCCCAGCTCACACCACTGTACTCCAGCCTGGGAAACAGAGCAAGACTGTCTAAAAAAGGGAAACCCCAAAAAAGGAAATAAGAAAAAATATGGACAAGTTAAAATAAATGAGAGCTTGAATGAAAAGTCCAATTTATGAGATTGGATTTCTAGTTAGGAAGCAGTAGAAAAAGGCAATATTCAAATAAATTATGGTGGAATATTTTCTAACATTGGTAAAACACAAATCAGATTCAATATGTGTTGGGTCTACTGTTTGATTTTTTATTATTTGCAAACTAATTAGCCTGTTACTGTTTCACAGATGCAGGAAATATGAAATTCCTGGATCAGAGACCCAGAAGTTTATTACTCAGTGCATAATAAAAAATAGTGTTATATTGCATTTTCTTCCTCGACCCTCTGCCCCTCAGGTGCCTCTAGCACAAGGCAGAGGGGTCAGGGAATACCTGCATATTTAGTAGGTTGCTTTAGAGAAAAATACTGAGCTTGGGAAACTGGCTGTTTTAAAGCAAGCTAAGATTTCTCTTTGTCCCCGGAGAAGACCTTACCTCATCCCTCAAGGTTTTACACAGCAAATGTAATTCTGAGAAATGGCCCCAAGTAAAGAGCAATAAGGTCCTTGCATTCATGGCATACCTGTGAGACATGCATAGACTGAGAGACCCATGGAGGAATGTCTCCCTACAGAAAGCAAACCATGTTGCAGGCTAGATTTAAAAAACTAAATCCATAGATGGACATGGTATAGTAGCCAACTAATGTGTCTCTTAAAAATGTTGTCAGGTTTTTGAGCTAGCATGAAAGTAGTACTCTGGTAGCTAGGTAAGTATTTGTGTGGCAGTAATAGATGAAACAAATCTAATCACTCAGAGTCCGTAAATACCACATAAGATGTTAAGGTTTGTTTCTAACTGGAAAGCCTGTGATGGTTATCAGGTTTCATGTGTGCATGTTTTCCCCTGTATATGTTATTTTTACTTTTGTTTTCTGTACTTCTGTGAGGGTATTAACCTTGGAATAGAATTCCATAGGATTAGAATATTTTAATGAGGATAATGATGTGTCTTTAGCACAATGCAAACTGACATGCTTCTGATTATTGTATGTTATCAAAGTAATTGTGTATTTTCTAGTTTTTAATTTGTTTTTCTCTCAACAGTGTGTAGTATTGACTGAGATGAAACTTTCGATGCAGAAGGTGATCAATGACTTTTGCCGTTCTCAGCGCCCTCCAATTAAGGTAATTGTATTATTTAGTAATGACATGTTATTAACCAAAGGAAGAACACTTTCACTACTAGAATTTTTAACTTATTAATGGGTTATCTAAGAAACTTTTTACATAGGATAATCACAATAAGATTTTTTTCATTAATTTTGGAATACTCATTTCCTGTTTTTAAAATTAGGATCTAAGTTTGGTTTATAGACAGATTGCCAAAACTAAGGAATAATTAAGTTCAGGAGTGGAAAGGATGATAAACATTGAAATCATCATCTTAATTTTTTTTTGATACGGAGTCTCACTGTCGCCCAGGCTAGAGTGCAATGACATGATCTCGGCTCACTGCAACCTCTGCCTCCTGGGTTCAAGCTATTCTCCTGTCTCAGCCTCCTGAGTAGCTGGAATTATACAGGTGCCCACCACCATGCCTGGCTAATTTTTTGTATTTTTAGTAGAGGCAGGGTTTCACCATGTTGGCCAGGATGGTCTCGATCTCTTGACCTCGTGATCTGCCTTGGCCTCCCAAAGTGCTGAGATTACAGGCGTGAGCCCTTGTGCCCAGCCTCTAATCTTAAATATTGTTATGATGGTGATTTTCTAAAGGTTCAGTGGTTCATTCGATGAATATTCATTAAATATGTACTAGAGACAGCTTTAGCCACTAGAAATACATTAGTGAATAGAGACAAACAAGTTTTCTTACTCATGAAAATTACCTTCTGCTAGGGAAGATGTATAGTAAACAAGAAAACAAATACATAATGTGTTTTTAAATAATTTCAAGTCCTATGATGAAAAAAAATCTGAGTAAAGAAAAATAGAGAATGATAGCTGCATGATGTAAGGAGAGGGACCAGTTTTGGTTCTCTTAGATTACAAGGTTAGAGAAGTCTTCTAAGACAACGTTTGAATAGAGCCCTGAATATGAGAAAGAACAGACTATTAACGATCAGGGGGAAAGCATTCAAAGCAGGGGAATCAGCAAGTGTAAACATTTACAAGTGTAAAAATCAGGTTGGTGGTTTTGAGGAACAATAAGAGGCAAGCAGGACCAAAACAGAGTTAGGTAAAGAGGAGAGAGGGTAGTAGGAGTAAAATATACCAGAAGATTAGTTTGGGAGAAGTAGGTTGGGGGCCATATGTTATAAGATCTTTGAAAACATTTGAGTTTTTAGGCCCATAAATTTTGATCTGTTTTATATTTTTAAAGGATCGCTATGGTTTGCTGTATGAAGAAAGACTATAGTTGTAGTTTTCAAAGTGTGGTCCAGGGACACTAAGAATCCCTGAGACCCTTTCAGTGGGATTCTGCCCAAACTGTTTTCATGTTACTAAGATGTTAGTCAGCTTTTTCATTCTGATTCTCTTAGGGGGCACAGTGGAATTTTCCCAAGTCTATATGATATGTGGTGATATCCTTACTCTGACAATGGAATATGTATATTCTTGTGATTTAAATTTCTCTCAGTTTTAATTTCTAACACGGTGAATATTGATAAGTATAACTCACATAAACAAAAGCTCTTTGGGTCCTTAATAATTTTTAAGAATATGAAGGGGTCATGAAAGATAACCAAAAGAAATAGAACTGTTGGATTATAAGAGTAGAGTAGAGGCAGCTAGACTAGTTATCAGCTATTGTAGTAGTCCAGCTAAGAGATGCTGGTGGCATCAGTTCATCGCAATCTCAGAGGAAGGTGGCTGTTGAGAGCGGCGATAATCCAGAATGGCTTCTCTGATCTATGTTGATAAGGAAAATGGAGAAACAGGCACTTGTGTGGCTGCTAAGGATGGGCTGAAGCTGGGGTCTGGACCTTCAGTCAAAGCCTTAAATGAGAGATCTCAAGTTGCAATACCACGTTTTGGCAAAACGTTTGATGCTCCACCAGCCTTACCTAAAGCTACTAGAAAGGCTTTGGGAACTGTAAACAGAGCTACAGAAAAGGCAGTAAAGACCAGTGGACCCCGCAATCAAAAACAGCCAAGCTTTTCTCCAAAAGGATGACTGGGAAGACTGTTAAAGCAAAAAGCTCTGTTCTCCCTCAGATGATGCCTATCCAGAAACAGAAAAATCCTTTCCCTTCGATCCTCTAGACTTTGAGAGTTTTGACCTGCCTGAAGAGCATCAGATTGCACACCTACCGTTGAGTTGAGTGCCTCTTATGACCCTTGACAAGGAGAGAGAGCTTGAAAAGCTGGTTCAACTGGGCCTCCCTTCACCTGTGAAGATGCCCTCTCCACCATGGAAATCCAATCTGTTGCAGTCTCTTTCAAGCATTCTGTTGACCCTGGATATTGAATTGCCACCTGTTTGCTATGACATTGATATTTAAATTTCTTAGTGCTTTAGCGTTTGTATTAATAAACATTCTTTAACAGAAAAAAAAAAAGATGCTGGTATGTTAGACAAGAGTTGGGAATAGAGATAATCAGAAGTCATTGAATTTGATGTATCCTTTGATGAAAAAAGTTGCAGGGGTGTGGGGAGGGGACCTAACAGAATTTGTAGATAGATGAATGTGAGTTGTGAAGGAAAGAGTGAGTGATCAGGAATGACTCCTAGATTTTTCTCCAGCATAATTAGGTGCATAGTGACATTGGGAGGAGGTTTAGATGGGAAAAAATCAGTTTTTCGATTGTAATTGAATTAGTTACTAACTTCATCTCCTTTGTTGTGGGGGTTGTTCCACTGGAAAAAGGAAAAAGCTATTTGTTTCTTTGAGTTAGGCACTAAGCCAAAATCATAATTTATGATGAGGTGTGTTGAACATTTTTGGATTGTGGTCTTTACATAGCATATTTATACTCTGTATGGGATTCATGCTGTGGTTTACAATTTATGCATGGGATTAAGACAGAATACCCAGTGAACTTACAATAGAGCACAGAGGTATTACAAAATAACTACACAAGGTTATAAATGGAAATCTTTTTTTTATGTAATACATATACTTCAAACTTTTAAAAAAAGCTTCTAAGTTTCTGCTCAGTTTCATGTCTTGAAAAAATGCTCTATGTACCTGTTTTGATCAGTAAAGTCAATATATGATCAAATGGGAGATGTCTCTGTTATCCATATCACTACTTCATATTATTGGATTATAAATTATTTTAACATGTTCTTATACCGTAATATCAATATACTTAATTTTATTAGAAAACATTATTTTATGCAAGATTGGATGCATTACAGAATTAAGATTTCTCTTTATTAGCAGTAGCTCTAAAAATAGCTTTAAGCACAAAAATAATATCTTTACGAGTTCTCAGAATAGAGACAATCCATGTGTTAGAATAATTGGCTTTTAATAAAACATTTATGATTTAAGAACTTAACGGTTTACCTTTCATGGCTTTGATTTGCGATGTCATTTTTTTAGCTCTTTTTGTGTAGACGCTGCTCTCAGCTTTTAGCTCTATTTTGTTTTCCATTAACTCTGCTGATTTTGGTAAATGAGCACTTCATTCCTGTCTCCTAAAATAACAAGTAAGAATTCACTGCTAGACTATTAAACCAAAGTATCTATTTCTTTTATGTTGTGCTTGAATTTTCTGACAAGCACAAAATTTAAAAATCACAGAATTTTTATTTAAAAATCATAGAATTTATAAAATGATATGCTGATATTACTTCTAATTTTGTTATACTAGAAGTCTTTAGTAAAAGTACTGAAAATCTTTGATTCCTAAACCAGTCTACGTGAGTTTATCCTGTTTATGATTTACTTTGTATTCTGTAGGGTGTACTTAATTATAAATGCAATTGTCATGAAATGGCCTAAGATAGTAGAGGTAGTTTTTTTCTTCTTTATATAAATAAGCTTGAACTTGTTTTTGCCATTTTACAGTTTATCAGTGCAGATGTACATGGAATTTGGTCAAGGTTGTTTTGTGATTTCGGTGATGAATTTGAAGTTTTAGATACAACAGGAGAAGAACCAAAAGAAATTTTCATTTCAAACATAACGCAAGTATGATTATATTAATGACTTTAAAAATAAATTTTGTTAAAGTTAATGTGAATGCTGTTTTCAAAAAGGTGGTAGGTATTAGCACAGTATTGCAGCGTGCAAAATTTATTTTACAGTGCTTTAAGATAATGAGGGAATATTTAGCTAATTTGTTGACTGCATTATGTTAAAATTGGAATATTAATTGTTAAAAATATTCTAAATTTCCTCTAACAAATAATACATGATAGGACCAGGCACGGTGGCTCATGCCTACAATCCCAGCACTTTCAGAGGCCGATGGCGGCAGATCACTTGAGCTCAGGAGTTTGAGACCAGCCTGGGCCACATGGTGAAACCTCGTGTCTATCAAAAATACAAAAAATTAGCTGGACATGGTGGTGTGTACCTGTGGTTCCAGTTACTCAGGAGGCTGAGATGGGTAGATGGCTTAAACCAGAGAGGTGGATGTTGCAGTGAGCCAAGCTCACGCTTCTGCTCCCCAGCTTGGGTGACAGAGTGAGACCCCATCTCAAAAATTAATAAAAAAAATAACACTTGATACAGCAACATTTGCTTGTCATAAATTTTAATTGTATTCTATGTCACCTCCTATGAGTCATGATTGTGATTCAGTATTTACTGAACTGTTTATTGTATCAGATAGTGGATGCATTAATGTTGTTAGTCATCTAACCTAACACTCTAAAAAGACATGCTTAATTCATATTAGAGAAAATTATTTCTAATTTGTTATAATTATAAAGCATTATTTAGAGGATGTAGAAAGTTTTGATTAATCTTCAAATCCCAAAGTCTGAATTTTCTAACCATACTCTTGATCATGCAAAAGTTCAATTTTTTATTCCATAAAAGAACTGCAGAAGTCATTATGATCCCCTTTTAATATCCTTTCACCTAAATAATTTACTTTATTTGTACTCTTTGTAATCAACTTATGTTAAAGTCCAAAAGAAGCCAAAACAAGGGAATGATAATATACTTTAACATATACTATTAGTAATTTGTACTTCTGTCTTTACACTTTATTTTTAAATCCAGTGTAATCTCATGGTGATAGAGACCCAGTACTGTCTCTCTCATGCCTTTTTAGGAAAAAATTATGGCCAGTCACAGTGGCTCTTGCCTGTAATCTCAGCACTTTGGGAGGCCAAGGCAGGCAGATCACAAGGTCAGGAGTTCGAGACCAGCCTGGTCAGCATGGTGAAACCCAGTCTCTACTAAAAATACAAAAAATTAGCCGGGCATAGTAGCATGCGCCTATGGTCCCAGCTACTCGGGAGGCTGAGGCAGGAGAATCACTTGAAACCGGCAGGCAGAGATTGCATTGAGCTGAGATCGAGCCACTGCACTTCAGCCTGGGCAACAAAGTGAGCCTCTGTCTCAAAAAAAAAAAAAAGAAAAATGTATTGAAAAGTCAATTTGTGTATCTTTCTGCTTCCAGAGTGGTTTATTATTCCACCTGAGTTATTCTTTCAGGCATATTAGTGCCTAGCTAACCTTTTGCCTTCTCTAGTTGGTTTTAGTTTGTCCCGGAGAATAACACACAGAATAAATTCCGAAAGATAGTATGGATTCTTATTGCATTGCTATTAATACTATAGGAAATAAGCTGATAAGCTACACAATATTTTTTTAAAGTGTTGTGCAAACTGTAAACTACCAGATTCCTATCTTTAAAGATTTCTCTCCTTCTTGTTTTTGTTCTTTGATTTTCAATGTTAGGCTTTTATCATTTATGCCTACAGTTTTTTCCAAAGTTTAAAACTATTAGATAACTTGGAATGTTTTTCCAAGTTACAGTAATTTCTGAATCTGTGAAATATTTGATAATTTCTGTGGAATCTTTGACCCATCTCCTACCAAACATAGAATTTATATTTTCAGCATTCATTTAAAAAATAGTAATAATTTAATCTATTATTTTGTGATAGATTTTTAAAGGCTTGCTTTTACTAACAATAATAGCTTGAAATTTTGGTTTTGAGGATTTTATGATAACTTTGTCATTTTTGCTTAACATTTGAATTTGTACAAAAAGAATACATTAACTTCTTTTTTAATAAGTTACTCTTATTTTTAGGCAAATCCTGGCATTGTCACTTGTCTTGAAAATCATCCTCATAAACTTGAGACAGGACAATTCCTAACATTTCGAGAAATTAATGGAATGACAGGTTTAAATGGATCTATACAACAAATAACTGGTAAGTTAATGTGTTTTGTTCATTTATACTTATTCAGCATGTGTATAGTTCAGACACTATACTTAGTGTCGGGAACAGAATGTCAACTTACAGAGATATGATCTGAAGCTCAGAGATATGATCTGAAGCTCTTGGCCTCAAAATACTCAATCCAAGTGAAGACATTGTTAAACAGTGATCATATTGAGAGAATCTAGGCATTCTGGGAACTCCAGAGTTAACAGGGAAACCTACCCAGTTTTGGGGCAGCAGCAGTGGGACAGGGTGTCTTTATTAAAATGTGAAGGTTGCATTGGCTTAGAAAGGTGTTAAAAAGAAATTATTTATTCAGAGACAAACGGAAAAGGCTCAGATGCAAGACAAAACTAAAAGAACTACAGGAACTGTAATACAGCAGGGCTGGCAGGGAGAATTGAACTCAGAAGTTTTAATCTTAAGATATTTAGGAGGAAACTTTATCACATACTATAGGCGAGTGAAGATTTCTTCTATCTGGTTAGTCAACATAGTCACCTAAGGAATGCAAGAAAGGGAGTAGGTTTTGGAGATAAAGAGTTTAGTTTAGCGCTGTTAAATCAGGTAGCAATGAAATATTTAAATGAAGATGTCTAGATACCGGTTGGATATATGTTCTTGTTCAGTGACTTGAATAAAATGGATGAATGTTGTGACTATAGGCAAGTTTGTTGGTTTGTTGGCAAGAAGTTTAAGGAGTCTTTTTTCTTTGGGCTAATGTGAAGTCATTGCCCAAAGGAAATGAAAGGTGCCAAAACCAGGAGGGAAGTAGACATTCTTAAAAATGGAAGGATGTCAGGCATCATATAGGGCCCATTTGAAGTTGAAGATAATGAATTTATAGCAGCATTAATCTGCATAATTTGTGTTTTTCCTTCAACCTTGTTTAAAATAGTCAAAGACAGGACTAGACAACCCATAACTATATGGCATGCTTACACATATTTAGAGGAAATTGATTCAGTTTTATCTTTAGGGCATTTGAAAATATAATTATGTATTTAGTTTATAGACAGTAAATGGAATTTCTTTTTTTTAAATGATGCAAAATATATCCTCAGGAGAGGGAAAAATCAATTCTTGTTACAAACTATTTATAGATAAACAACTTTGAAACTATATTTAAGTATTTTTGGTAGCAAAATTATTTGATTTTGTTCCTCAACTACATGTAATTATTTTAAACACAGGTTCAGATAATAGATATTAAAGAATATGTCTGTTTATGAAAATTAATCATTTAGGATTATTATTTGTAAGTTGGGGTCCATGTTTTATAACAAAACTATTTGATTTTGTTTTTCAACTACATCTAGTTCTAAATACAGGTTCAAATCATATATATTAAAGAATATGTCTATTTTATGAAAATTAATCATTTAGGATTACTATTTGTAATTTTGGGGTCCATGTTGTGGTGAATTGTGGTGATGGATCAGATTATGAGGCTGCCTGTATGAAGAGGAGCCACTACATGTCAGGAAATAAAGAGAAAGAAAACCCACATTTTGTGTGAATAAGTTTAAATAGAGTGGCTCTTATAAATCTTTTTTTTGCTTAACATTTATAAATTGCTACTTACTGATCTAAAGTAATAGCATGAAATGAAAAATGTTGTTTTGCTTTTTTTTTTTTTTTGAGATAGCATCTTGCTCTGCTGCCCAGGCTAGAGTGAGTGACATGATCATGGCTCACTGCAGCCTTGACCTCCTGGGCCCATGTGATCCTCCAACTTCAGCCTCCCAAGTAGCTGAGATCACAGGCATGTGCCACCACTCCTGGCTAAGTTTTTTTTATTTTTATAGAGACAAGATCTCCCTATGTTGCCCTGCATAGGCTGGTCTGCCATCCAGGGCTCAAGTGATCCTCTCACCTTGGCTGCCCAAAGTGTTAGGATTACAGGCATGAAGATCGAAACAAACCTCATGCCCAGCCAAAAAATATTGTGAAATAGCTCAAATAATACATACTTATTCTAGATATATATGTATATATGTGTATATATGTAAACATGGTTAAAAATGAGTCCTACTTCAGAATTCTTTTCCTCTCCAGAGGTAACAGCAGCTAAGTTTGGTGTTCACTCTGCTGACCATTCTATTTTATATATTTATTATATATACATGTATATATAGTACATATT